TTGTTTTATTTTTCTGCTTTTCTTGGTTTCGAAGAATATGGTCGGTAATGTAGATGAGACATGAATGCATGAGATTAAACAATGTTGTTTGCTTCAGAATTTTGAAGAATAAAAAATGGAAAAGGTAGGTAGGTAAGCTAAGTTTGAAGAGTGGAAAAGCTGGCAAAGAAAGCCAAGACAGCGGAAAGCACAAGATTGCGAGATGTATGCACTTTAGTTTTTTGGGGTAGCCGTTTGTTCATAATTTCAATGCAATCTTCTCCTTGTAAAGCTAAAACGTATCTGTACATGGGAAACCTTTATACAAAATTTTCAAAAAATATAAAAATTCGCACATATAACTATAAGAATATATATATATATGTAGACATGGGGAAGAAGGGGAAAGAAGATGGTCACTTCCTTGGGCCGCCGGAGGTGGTGGATTTGGCGGAGCAAGTAATGGACTTGGTGGGTGACGGAGGTAGTTGTTGCCGGAGAGCTGAGGGGGGAGATGGGTAGGAGACAAAGTTATGGAGGAAGAATTTTGTTTTTTTATATTTCATGTTTTAATTTAAAAAAAAATAAAATTATTTTTACATGCATGTCAATAATTCACATAATTTGATATTGATATTTACCCAATCAAAATACAATAAACATGACATTTTCATTAATAATGTTAGTACACCATGAATTAAAATCAGAAAATTTTAAAAAGTAGAAGGATCATCTTAGGTCTACAACCAAAATACAATTCTTGTTAAACCTAGATTCACGTAACAATATCATTACGAGTCTTAATATTTATCAATAATCATATATTAAATTGGAAAATTTTTAAGTATAAAGATTAAAATTATAAAATATATATTTATCAATTTCAATATTTTAAAAGAGTATAATATCCAAAAAAATATTAGATGCTATATAATATCTAACATAGATCAGACTTCAACCAAAAAATAGTGTCAGAATTATATATAGAAATATTCAGTGTTAACGGTATTAGAGATTAATAATTGAATATTCTTTTGAAAATATAAAGATTAATTTGACAAAAATTTGAGGTATAAACTAAATCAAATAAAAATAGGTAGTATAAATATGACAGCCCGAACCCCAATATAGATGGGTGCGGGCGTTAGCACAATATTTTCAACTAACGAAATATATAAATATTAAATATACAGCAGAACTACACTTTAATACATCTAAATTAATTTATAAATCTAAAATAAAAACTAACAAAGTTTTCTTCACCATCTTCTATTGATATTGGACTTGCTTCTCTTCTCCTTTAACCTAGATAGGGGTGAATTAGGGTGAGCTTCACGAGCTTAGTAAGAAAAAAAAATCTATAACGGAGACTTACGTACATATATTCACATAATATATAATATATAATAATTTTTATTATCAAAAAAAATATCAAACAAACATCACAATTAAAATACACAACAAAACAAATTATCACACAAAACATATTCTAATCCTCACTCTTATAACTTAATTCTTGTTCTCCTTTCAAATTACACTCGCACTCGAAATATCACATCTAAGGTTTCATCGCGTGATGCCGTTTATATCGTTATCGATGAGAGGTAAAATGGATTCTCCATCACATGGATAGCACACACACATAAATTTCACAATGGTCATAGCAGGTACGTGTGCTAGGTGACCCACACTCACAAATACATATCCATATCTGTACTAGGTTTCAAACTCTATCCATATGCAGATTCATCAAACCCGCTGAACTTCAGCCACACACGCTCCCTCCCCTCCTCGATTTAGACTAAACAAGTACCTATTCAGGGTCCTTACACTCTACACTCTTTCTAAATCTCTCTAATTTCTAATTCACTTATTTCCTACTTAAGATCTTAATTTCTATGTATAATTAAATACAAAGATACACACACACACAAAATACACGATATCATCACACACATCAAAACCATACATTTCAAACTATTTTCTGAATCATCTTGTAGCAAATCACACAGCAAGCATATGATACTTAGATTTCTCGTACAACTGTACCAGATCATATAGCAAGTACAGTGCACCGTATATCGATACCAAATCACACAGCTAATGCAGGGTACCCAAATTTCACACGTACACACTGATTATATATTTTACATTATAACATATATACACACATATTAATTCACACACACATATATTATAATGCAGACATATATCTTCATTACATGTCTCAAATAGAATATATATTTATATTCTCACACACAAATAATTTCTACAGATACCTACGCACACGTTCATACTTAAATACGTACACACAATCACACACAACATATCATATATATATTTATTCACGTATTTATTTTGATCAATTATGTTCTTATCAATTCATATTACATTCATCGTATATTTTTATAGATATACACACACATGCGTAACAACATATATATACACATACACATGAACACAAACAAATATAAATTATATTCCTATTACACCATACATACATTTAAACATTCACATACAATGCACTATACATATACACATTTACATAAACATATAATTTATGTCTCCGTACGGAATACACACAATTCTTACTTATGGTGTGATCATAAAATCTTTGGGAATCCTTTCTAACTCGATCTATGGTCCTCTCGAAAATTCGAATAC